CATGCGGCCATAAACGACCGTCAAATGAAATGATGAATTTTTGAAAGATTTTGAAAACGGAAAAAATGATAGTCATGCCGGCCCAGTATCATCAACATTGAAAAATGCCCCAGCATGAAGTGGTTAAACAAGGATTTTTTTTCCAAAAGAATTTTACTTTCATATTCCTGAGCACCCCATCCATTTTATGATATATTCTTGGTGCAAGCAGTCCAGAAGAATCTCCGTAGTCTTGGCATGCGTGGTGAGTTCTGTGTGCTGCGTTACACACAGACTCTTGACCAACAGGAATGGATTATAAAAGTCGGATCCAGGTGCAACCACATATTTATGCGGCGGGCATTATCAAATCGCAACGGGCATTATCAAATGTTAATATACGGTCACATTGCGCGTTGTTGAATAGGGCAACCTGTCAAAGGTATTTACATATATGAATGTGATGTGAATCGTACACGTACATGTACATGTATTTATTTTTTCCTGAATCAAAATTACACTTTCAAGCAAAACAAATCAAGGTATGAGTATGAAGTACTAAAACACACACACAGTCGGGCAGGAATAACTTGATTTCACTAAACAAGCAAAGAAAACTATTGACCTAAACAATTTGTGCTCAAGGCCCGGGCAATTTTCATACAGTGACCAGATGGTGGCTTCTTTGATTTGGTGATGCAGAAACTGATCCAACACAGGGTGAGTCAGTGGTGACTGGTTCCAGGGTAATGAATGATTCCAATGCATTGAAAAAATAGAGTGCATCTAACAGCTCTTCCAATACTACAGTGCAGCTGACTCACGAGCTGGTCTACAATTACACGTTGGCTACATGTAGAATTTAAGACTGAATTTGAAACCCATGTCAATAGTTTTACTTAAAACCCATGTCAAGAGTTTTACTTAAAACCCATGTCAAGAGTTTTACTGCGGATCCACAGAACGTATTATTCAGAAACTTTAACTAACATGGCAGCTCTGTGCACTGACAAGAAGAGCTCTCAAACACTCAACTAGATCCATAAAAACCAACGGACCACGAAAAGTACAAGTTCAATGAATATTGCCGTTGGGATACATAAAGTGAGATAAGGGAGTTAATATTTCATAGTACTGCTTAGCATACTGGTACAGAGAACATTTGACTTCTGGCATTTTGTTTGCTTTGAGAATATGCCGGTACTACATGTGTACTTACACAACTATTCTTTAGTCACATCTGCAAATTATACCTGTGCAATGAAAGCCACCTGCTTGCTACACAAAGTTGTAGGACTACCCATTATCTTCAAGCAACTTGAATTCTCAGTTCTGATTGGTCGATCCACGGCAAAAACAGTGTGATACATGTATACAACCATAACCGTATTGCACGGTTCCTACATGTACATGTATCAAAGCCTGCGGAATGCGCTGTTCTAACTCAATGCACTGCGCTATTTTTATACTAAAAGCAAACACACATCTGCATGACTGTAAATTCAAAAGTGGCATTTTTGCTCGTGCTGACCGTCACATGTTTAAATGCACATATACACTGTACGTGTAAATTTCCTTTCTCAGTGTAAGCCCCGTTGTTTTGTTGTTAGTGAAATAAGTTAAAACACAAATTATTC